GATGACTGCAAATGTACAGGGTCTACTATGAAACCACGGTAAGAAAATGAGAAGCAGGCAAGTCCGTCCTGGAGATCTCGGGTCCTGTCCCTCCGCACATTTCCCGTGTGTGGGAATCACACTGCACATGCAACTCAGCCTCGCCGTTATTTCCACTTAATCATATACGATAAACATCTTCCCGAGACCACAATGTCCAGAAATCTTACCTAATTGGAGCATGATGTTTTCTTAGCCACAGTTAAATGTTTTCCACTGGGGGCTATTATTTACCAAAGAAATCTCAAAAACATTAAAAGAAGGATTTGCGCATAAAACATTTTATTTCTCTCCACATGTACATCATTTCCCGGAGCTGGATTACCCAAAATCTAACCATCTGCAGTAATCATGCCACTACAAAGAAAAATAGCGCCTTTAACCTTAAGCAATGCCTTGCTCAGTGTAGGCCTAAGAATTCATCCCTCTTGCAAGCCAGCATGATTTATACCACTTCTTTCCCCAGCACCAAACTGCCTGGTTCAAGAAAATGTCCCCTGTAGTTCATTTCTCTTTGAAAAAAATGTTTTAAGTAATAATAATTTCACATGTACAAAGAAACCTTGGATCTTATTGCCCAAGTCAAGTCATACAAACTACCAGTGAGTGAACTTCCAAAGGATTTTGTTTTCATTTATTTATTCATTAATTCTGCAGTACTGGGGATGGAACCCAGGACCTTTGCACTGAGCTTCACCCCCAGCCCTTTTGATCTTCGTTTTCAGACAGGGTCTTGTGACACTGCAAAGTTCCCCAGCCTGGGTTTGAATTTGTGATCCTCCTGCCTCAGCCTCCCAGAACGCTGGGGTCATGGGTCTATGCCACCCTGCTGACTCCAAAGGATTACTGTCATTAGAAGCTCATTCGGCACCAATTCATAGATGAAAGTGGTTCTGAAAGACGGCCAAGGATGGTGTTTGAATAAAAAGGTCAATCTTCAGGCAAAAGCCTGGTGCCTTTTTATGTTTCAAAAATGTACTAAATTCAGTACTGAGTCCTCTCTGAAGTTTGGCATACCAACCTCTGTTCCTTGAATTCAGAAATGCATGAGACACCTGCTTTCTGCTGTGGGAGCTCAGCTGTATTTTATTCACTGTAGGTGTGGGAGCCACAAATCTCAAAGAGGAGGCCCAGGTGCAGGGTCAAGGAGGCCTGGAGAGGAATGATCGATCAGTCTAGGACATGCTGAATCCCCAGAGTCTCGCCTGGCTTCAGGCCACCCATTAAAAATCACCCTCACACAAGTGTGGTAGTACACATTGGTAATCCCAGCACTGTGGGAGGCTGAGACAGAAAGATCTCAAGTTTGAGCCCAGCCTGGGCAATTTAGTGATTTAGCAAGATTCTGTCTCAGAATAAGAAAGCATTTAGAGGACTGGGGATGTAGTTTAGTGTGGAGGCTTTGAGATCAATCCCCGATGTGACAGGGGGAGGAAGGGAGGCAGAAAGGAAAAGGAGAACTCACTGCAGGGCGAATGTCCTGCCATTTTCCATCACAGTGCACAATCTCCCTTGACTCATGGCAGACACATGTGTGACATCAAGGCCGGGTCTCTCCTCATCAGTGCCCTGGGCCAGGACCTACTTCCTGGTAAGGAGTAAGGATGCTCCCCTTGGCAGCTCTCAGGAGCTCCGGGGCAGAGCGAGGGTGGGAAGGGATGCCGGGGTCACCCCCTGGTGCCCGAGATGCTGGGGCCACACAGAGCCCAGGGGAGGGCAGGAAGGAAGGGCCCAGGCCACAGCCTGTGATGGCCAGGGAAGGCCACGAGCTAGAGATGCAGGAAAGACAGTGGGCAGCGAAGAAAGCTTGGACATAGGCTTCCAGGAGGTGCAGACACCGACACAGAGGGGCGGGGACAGGAGGGTGGGCTGCAGGGCACTGGGCAGGGCAGAGCTGGGACAGCAGCGTAGAGACTGGGTCAGGGCCAGGCCCCTCCGTCCACCTCCATGGACAGCCAGGGGTGCCCACAATGAGGGAGGAGCACAGAACAGAGAAAAGGTGGGAAGGCGACGGACATCCAGATGTGTGAGGAATGTGTGAAAGGCGCATTCTGACGGACAAGGCACTCCAGTAGAAGACACACGGACATGAATCCCCTCAGAATCCTCCCCCTTGCTTCTGACACACTCATCCCATCATCCCCGCCACTTCCTGCGGCAGCTCTGGAGTCCTCTTTCCTGAGGGTCTTTAGCTGCACTGTCCTGGCTGCCTCCATGTCCTGAGTGGATTCAAAACATCTCCCTCTCCTGGTCATTTTGACTTTGGATAGAGCCAGGAGTCCCATGGCGCCGGGTCCAGTGACTCAGGTGGACGAGGACACAGCATTGCGCTGCCTTTCTGTTGGATGGCACTCAGCAGCAATGGTCACTGGATATTTGATCCTAAGCTGGACAGCCTGGGGAAAGCTGGCCCCACTGCCTGCAGGACAGAGCTGAAAGGGAAGGAGTCACGGTCACCACTGAGGAAAACCTTGACAGATAAGAGTGGCCTAGCCAGGCATGGTGGCGCACGCCCATAATCCGAACACTCGGGAGGCTGAGGCAGGAGGATTGCTGTGAGTTCAGACCAGCCTGGGCTACACAGTGAGTTCCAGGTCAGTCTCAACGACAGTGAGACCTTGTCTCAAAAAACCAAAAAATAAAAAAATAAAAGAGAGAGTGTCTCCCTCAGCCTGCATCCTCTCTGCATCCTGGGGGAGACCTCACGTCTGGGGTTTGTGCAGCACGGCAAACCCCGGCCTGCATGTCCAGCTTCTCAGGGACACCAGAAAGTGGACCCCAGCCCGCCATGCTGGCTCCTCCCTCCGAGCAGCCTGCCCAGCCCCCTCCTCCATCTCAACCCACAGATGCTCAGGGCCAAGTCAATGCACTGAGTGCATGGAAATAAACCAAAACGACATGGATGGGGGCGTGGCAGGAAGGGGCCTAGCTTTGGGATGGGTTTTCTACCAGTATCCTCCTCCCCTTTACCATCTCTCCCTACTGTGAGGCAGAAAGAGGGCCCCGGGGATGTCACTGCTGCCCCAGCTGCCTCCCCGAGATGCCTGGTCACCGAAGACACTGACACCAGTCCGGCAGGTCTGTGAGGACCGTTCTCTCCCGCTGGCTGCATAAACCTGACACAAGGTAAACCTGTCCAGCCCTGTGTGCCCACACCTGTGCTAATGGCTGCCCTGTGTCCAGGACGATATGCTCAAGTCCCAACGCTGGGTATTGCCCAGGTGTCTCCAGGAAGGGCCAAACGTGGTCAGTTTACAATGACACGGGTGGGGCCAATGTACTCCATGTGACTCTGGTCCTGAACAGGAAGAGAAACAAGCAAAGAAACGCAAAGGCAGAGAAGCAGGAGCCAGCAACGGGATGAACGCACCTGGATTTGAGACTCTCTGCCTGCCTCTTACCTGTGGCTTGTGCCACCCATGTGCTCTGAGTTCCCGGCCTGCTTTAATGTCACAATTAAAAGGAGCTTCTTCAACAAACGAATAGAAAAAGAAAGTGGTATCTACAAGACAGAGCGCCACTCAGCCCTCAGAAAGGATAAGAGTTCCTGGGAGGAAAATGGAGGCACTTTGAGATCATAATGCTATGTGAAATACATCAGCCACAGAAGGTTAAGTAGCACATGGCTGCTCCGCTATGAGAAAACGAAAGTCTACATAATTTAAGGAGCAAACACAAGGCAGATGACAGGACTGGGGAGGAGCAGGCTTTGTGAACAGGGAGAGGGATCTGAGGGCTGGGGGAGTGGGGAGGGAAGGAAGAATGATGAGGATGCTGCGTCCCGTCCCACCTCCACGACGAACGTAACTGGGACATCGCAGGCCTGCAGCCATGAAATGGATAAACCGAAGCTCCCGCCCAGCTGCCTGGCAGAGGAGTCAGGGAGATTTCGGCGAGCAAGACCGGGGCAGGGGCGGGCGCCCCTTGGCACAGGCAGCTCTGGGCACAGCACAGAGTGAGGGGCGGACCCTTCTCCTTCAGGACTCCTACAGCACCGCCTCACCCTGCAGGCCTCCCTTGCCCCGTGGGCTCGGCTCGGGGTCAGTGGCCTGCGCCCCTCGTAAGATGGAGATCAGGTGACCCAGGTCGAGTGCACAGAGCAGCTCTTTACCAGCCTCAAGGTGGCAGGGAGAGCCTGACCTCTGCCAAGCCACCGGGAGGGAGAGGCACACGTGTTCCAGCCACTGCAGAAGCGCCCGCCGTCCCTCCCATGGCCCAGGACATCACGTTCCTGCCACCGTGGGGTCCCTCACGGTCAGCAGGGCTGGCGGGAAAAATTCCCCCATGGCCTGGCTTTTCTTCATGCTGCACCCCACATCAGAAAGGCCAGGCCCCGGGGTCCCGTGAGTCCGCAGGCTCCCCACTCCCGCCCGGACACGGCCCGCCCTGAGCTCCGGGCAGAGACTAAAGCTAACACCAGAGCAGGACAGGCGCAGCCAGAGCGGCCTGACCGGTGCTGCTCCTCGCCTGTGCCCCGCAGCGCAAGAGCCGGCAGCCAGCGCTCCGGAGAAGGACTCACAGCCCCGGATCAGAAAGACCTGAGTCCCCGAGCGAGCGAGCTCCAGGAGCCGCCCTTCCTCCTCCGCTCCTCCGCCTCTTCCCATCCACCGCGGGACCCAGGACTCCCATCCACAGTGCAGCTCCTGTCCCACCTGGAGCGGCTCCCCCTGCTGCTCCTGGCCGATGCTGGCAAGGACTGCAGCACGGAGGCCACAGCAGGCTGGAACGGATCCAACTCTCGTGCACACAGCTGCCGCGCCAACAGCATTCCGCTCCATTCCAGGCCACCAGCGCTGCTTTTGGTCATTCTCACTTCCACAGCGAGCCAACGTGGCCACCGGATATTGCAGGGCCTTCAGTGACCTGCCCCTCCAGGGAGAAAACCTTCCCGGCCCAATGGACTCCAATGCCACCGAAGAACACAATCAAGACCTGGAATTTGTGTCTTCACAACCACCTACCTGCTCAGCGCCCCCATCAGCTGCTCAGTGGCTTAGCGATTAAGTCCATCAGCGGCACTGTGGTGCGCACTGGGGATGCGGGGAGGACAACGTTCCTACCTTAGCAGTGTTCCCAATTTAGTAGAGAAAATAGGAGTTACATAAATCACTAAAATTAGATCCAACACATGCAATTAGAGGTTCTGGGGAGAAAAGGTTGCTACGGAAGCACCTGGTGGAGGGTTATTTTCCATCTGAGGAAAACAGCAGGGAGCATGTGAGCTCTGCCAGGGGACCACCAGAGCCAGTCTGCAGAGCTGGCCCCTCCTGCCCTGGGGCCTCTGTTTCTCAACTGCAAGATGCTAGCATGGGAGGGCTAATCTCAGCAGTCACTCACGCTGGTGATGTGACAGCCATCAGGAAAATGCGCTGTATTCGTCTACTTTCCATATTACCCAAAATCCACAACTTAAAAGGGAAAGGTTTGATGTGGCCCATGGTTTCAGAGAGTTCAGTCCATGGTTAACTGGTTCCAAGGTAGGATCATGGCAGCAGGGATTGGAAGGAAAAAAGCTGCACAGTTCATAGCAGCCAGGACACAGGCAGGGGAGCAGGGCCTGAGCGGCAGTGCCAGGGCCAGATACAAACTCTCCAAGACCACCCAGACACACCAGAAGTGCGTGTTAGCTGAGCCCTTGGGCAGCTCCCAAGCCAGTGTAGCTGTCATCTTTTTTTTTTTTTTTTCGAGACAGGGTCTCACTGTGTAATTGAGACTGACATGGAACTCACTATGTAGCCCAGGCTGGTCTCGAACTCACAGCGATCCTCCTGCCTTAGCTTCCCCAGTGCTGGGATTACAGGCGTGCGCCAACACACCCGGCTCGTAGCTGCCATTTTAATTTAAAATCACAACTGGGTAAGTGGTGTGTGACTTCCGGCTGGGAGGTTCCCAGTCCTGGGCAGCAGCTATTCTTCACCTGAGAAGCCCCCCAGCTTTCTCAGCCACCTAACAGGTCAAAGTGCCTGTGGACACTGCGCGAGACTGCTACCTGTAATCGCTGTCCTCCACCACACAGATCTGAGAAGACAGGACAGGGAAAGGGAGGAAATACTTGCAAGAGGCTCAAATAAAAATACCGATGAAAATAAAAAATGCACCAGTGGGCACTCACAGAAGACAAACAACAAAAGCAACTGTGCTGCACAGGGAATCTCGGTTCACGGAGCTCTCTGAGACGACCAGTGACCCTGGGACACATCAGCATCACCTTAGCCAGGTGAGCCCAGTCCCTCTGAGCTGGGTCTCAGTTTCTGGTGCACCCCGGACTCTTTTTTGCAGCTTTAGGCCCTGAATTTGACTCGGACCTTGCAGTTTGCCTGGCTAACTCGGACTTATCCTGCAAGTCCCAGCTAGCCACCCTCATTCTCGGAGCTGACTGCTGGAACCCACTCCCACCTTTCCGTGCAGCTCCCTGGCTCTCCTGCCCTGGGCTGACATGATCCCTCCGTGGCTCTCTTTCCGGCCCCAGCGCCTCGCCTCCTTGTGGCCGTGCAGGTGCTGAGCCTGAAGCAGGCTTTGATGCTGATCGCGTGAGACCCTGGCCAACATGGCACCGGCCTCCTCGTGTCCACGTTCCACGCCAAACACCAGCGCCCAGGGCCTGATGAGGCAACACTTAGTAAACATTCATTTCTGTCTCCTCCATCCCAAGCCAGGGGCAGGCACACAGCAGGACCGACAGCAGCTGCCTGCCTCTCCAGGCGCTCTGGAACTGAGCTTTCTTTGAGACCGGCACCAGCCCGTGCACTTGCTCCCGGAAGTCCGTTGTCCTGCTCTGTGCACCAGCCTGGACGTGCACTCCCATGCAGGTTTTACATTCACAGCAGGGAGGAAGAGGGGCACTCGTGCGTCGCCCCCGCAAAAAATACCTCACTTCGCAACATACTGCTGTGGAGAAAAGTCAAGGCGACGGGCAAAAATCTATCTTTTTGTTTTCTTGCAAAAGTGCCTACGCGGGTTGCACCGGTGAGACGTCCTGCAGTGCTGATTCTCCTGAAAGTTCCCCAGGAGCAGCATTTTCTGATTTCTAGATCCAGGGGCTCACTCGGGGACCCTACACTCACCCAGGTCAGGGCGCTGGGTGGCAAAGGTTTGTGGCCTAGCACCCGCAGGAATGGCTTCCTTTGAATGTCGCCATCTCTTCAAGGAAAGGTGTCCAAGGGCATAGGCTCAGCAGAAGCAGAGGAGGAGGGCTCTCGGTCTCAGCGCAGACAAGGAGCCAGAGACAAGCGGGACAGGCATCTTCCTGAGAAGATGTGGGGGGCTCGGCGGACAGGGGCCTGCCTGATCAGACGTTCCCCCCTGGTCGAAGGGGAGCAGACACACCCCAGGTTGTGCATCAGCAGAGGGCTAGAGCCGGGCAGCAGAGACAGCAGAGACCAAGCTAGCACCTGGAGAGAGAGTAAGGCCTGGCCCCTCCCCTCCCCTCCCCTCTGTCTCCCTTTTCTTTTGTTATTTTATGTTGTTTTGTTGAGATAAGCTCTTGCTTTGTAGTCCAGGCTGGCCTTGAACTCCTGGTGATCCTCCTGCCTCAGCCTCCCAAGAGCTGGGAGGGACTACAGGCTTGCGTTACCACACCCAGCCCTTTATTTTCTGTAATGAGGATTAAACCCAGGGCCTTCACACTGACCTACATCCTCAGACCCTTTTTATTTTTATTTTTAAAATTGTGTCTTGTTGAACCACTAAGTTGTCTCGTCTGGGTCCCAACTGCGCTCCTCCAGGCTCAGCCTCCCAGAGTGCTAGGATTACAGGTGCACAGCACCACGGCCCGCTGTGAGGTCCTTTCAAAGTCCCACACCACAGTGACCTGCATGAGCTCTGGCCTCTAAGGAGACTCTTTAAAGGAGGATCACAAGCCAGCAGAGCGAGGGCAGAACCCTCAGCACAGCGCAGGCTGGGCAGGGCCCTTGGGTCCTCACATCTGCCCCCACCAGCTCTCCAAGCTGGGGGCGCTGACACTGGAACCGGTATTTTTACAGACCCAAGCTGCACGGGGCCTGGAAATTGTCCCTCCATCCACACCCAGATCCCCAGCCTCAAGTGCCTTCCACAAGGATGGAGACAGAGGCCCAGGTGATGGGTGGTGGGTAGGTGGGCAGGGGACCAGCCCCAAAGCCCAGGAGAGCCGGGCCTCTCCCTTCCCGTGCTGGGCTAGGGTCCACCCTGTCCTCCTCCCAAACCATCTATGGCTCCCACTGCCAGCCCAGACAACGAGCTGGCCTGGAGTCCAGGGCCAGGCTTTGTCCCCAGCGACCTCTGCAGCCCTGCATCCTCAGCCCTCTAAAAGCTGATAAAAACAGAACCCGGAAGGCACAGAGGAGCCCAACAGCCCTCTCTGGAGAAGACGCAAATGTCAAATCTCTGCTCTTCAAAGCTGCCAGGAGGATCGCCCAGGAAACCACACACTGAGCCAGGGCCGCCCCCACGTCCGGGTCCACTTCTGCCCCAGTGTAGCGCCCCCTCCCATGCCTACCCCGGCCTCCTGCTCTCGCAGCCACTCCCTTTGCCGCCCAGGCTCCCTGCACCACCTTTCCCCGCCTGGACTGCGCTTTATTTATAAACACACACACCTCTCACAGGGTGCGGCACACACGCATGCCTGGTATCTCAGCGCTTGGAGGCTGAGTCAGGAGGATCGCAATTTCAAACCCAGCCTGAACAACTTAGCCACTTGGCCAGATCTTGTCTCAAAATAAAAATTAAAATATTAAAAAGGGCTGGGGATACAGCTCAGCGAGAAGCCCGGGGTTCAATCCCTAGTACCGCAAAAAATAAATAAGCAAAAATAAATGCATCCATCTCCCGGCTGAACTCTTTTCTGGCCCAGTTCCCTGGGACCGGTCCTTGGTCCCTACCCTTCCCTCAGGCCTCGGCCCCGGAAGCCCTCCACCCCCAAATCCCTGGAATGCGAGAGGCCCGCGGGGCTCCTCCCAGAGGGGGGCAGACTCCTTCCCAAAGCGGGTGCCGCGGCTTGGGTCTCCCCAACCGGCCCCTGACCTTGGTTCCCGCACATCTTTTTTCTCTCGGAAGGGGAGAGAGACCAAACTTTTGGGGACAGCGCCCTTCCGCAGCCCCGCGGGTTAGGGCGGCCCCCTCCCCAACTCGGGAGCTCGGGGAGCGCGGCCGGG